ATGTTGAACATTTCCTTAAGTGTCTTTCAGCCATTTTAGATTCCTCTGTTGACAGTTCTCTGTTTAGGTCTGTACTCCATTTTTTTTTATTGGATTATGTGTTCTTTTGGTGTTCAATTTCTTGAGTTCTTTGTATATTTTGGAGATCAGACCTCTGCGTGATGTGGGGTTAGTGAAGATCTTTTCCCATTCTGTAGGCTGTCATTTTGTCTTATTGACTGTGTCCTTTGCTTTACAGAAGCTTTTCAGTTTCAGGAGGTCCCATTTAGTAAATGTTTCTCTCCGTGTCTGTGCTGCTGGGGTTCTATTTAGGAAGTGGTCTCCTGTGCCAATGCATTTGAGTGTACTTCCCACTTTCTCTTATTTATTTATTTATTAAAGATTTCTGCCTCCTCCCTGCCACCGCCTCCCATTTCCCTCCCCCTCCCCCAATCAAGTCCCCCTCCCTCATCAGCCCGAAGAGCAATCATCCCTGACCTGTGGGAAGTCCAAGGACCACCCACCTCCATCAAAATGTGTAGCCCAAGCTGGCCTCGAACTCGTGATCCTCCTGCTTCTGCCTCCTTCAGCAAATCCTACCGGCGTGCACCACCACAACTGGCCCACTTTCTCTTCTATAAGGTTCAGTGAGGCTGGCTTTATGTTGTGGTTTTTGATCCATTTGGACTTGAATTTTGAGATATGGGTCTATTTTCATTCTTCTACATGTTGATATCCAGTTATGCCAGCACCACTTGTTAAATATGCTTTCGTTTTTCCATTTGATATTTTTTGCTTCTTTATCAAAGATCAGGTGTTCGAAGATGTGTGGATTGATATCCGGGTCTTCTATTCAGTTCCATTGGTCCTCCTGTCTGTTCTTATGCCAGTACCAGGCTGTTTTCAGTACTGTAGCTTGCTGTTGCTTTTTAGGGCATTCTCTGACCCAATGTCCCTCCTCCCTACAGAAGGCACATTGGTTTTTACCCACCTTTGGACTTGGTGGTGGTTCATTTCATTATCCCATGTGAGCAGTCTAGTTTCTGTCTGTTGCAGCCAGGAACAATTCCTGGCAATGATGCTCCTGTTGAGCCACCAGCACCGAGCGAGGCTTTTCTCCTGTCGTCTTTGTTTTTTAATCTCTTTCTCCTCTGCACTTTTCCTTGTATAGAAAACCCTCTCAGCCACCGTCACTAAATCTCTAATACTTCTTTCCCCTAGCCCCTCTAACTTCACAAGCTTATTCCTGATATCACGAGCTGCCTGGTTTACAAATACAAAAATCAGAGTTTCCTCTGTCTTTGCTGCTTCTGGATCATACGGAGTGTAACATCTGAAAGCCTCCTGCAACCATTCAAAATAAGCTGCTGGGCTTTCCTCTGGTTCCTGTCTAACATCGTACACATGTTAGTGGGCCATTTGGCAGCTACTTTGGTACCAGCCAAAAAGGTCTGGCGATAGACTTTGAGCCTCTCTTTACCTCGAGCTGAATTATAGTGCCAGAGAAGGGGGTGTTTGTGGGCAAAAGGCTGGCGATGATAGTGTGGTTGGTGCCCATCTCCATCTGGTGGCCCAGTGGGCTTCAGAGGCTAGATAACCTGGGGTTGGGGAGTGTTCCCTTGCCCACTGCTGGTTTCTCCGGTGAGGCCCACTTCTCCCTCTGGGACTGGGTCTCCTGCAGCAGGAGGAATGTAGGGTGGGGGAAAATATCTTCCTCTTGTGAACTCTGGAGTATTGGAGCTGAGGGGGCCTCCGAGGGGGCTGCGTTTGGGCCCCTAGTACCTTAACCTGTGGAGGCGAGAAATGTCTTAGCCAAGATGGGGGGATTTTTCTATCTGCCCCCGCCAGGTGACAATGTCTGGTGTCTGATCTGGATGTCCTTCCCAGGATGAAACACGATGTTTTCCACAGCACTCACGAGGCTGGCATCAAAGGGTCCTTCCTTAGGCCGTCCAGAGCCGCAAAAGATGTTATTCCCTTTTTAACCTCGGCACTGCTGCTGTGACTGTTGCCTTAACCTCGGCCTGGGTGCCAGGCGGAGCTCCAAGCAGGTAGAAGGCTCACTTTCCAGTCCTCCTCCGGCCAGCTCAAACACGACAAACAAATAGACAACCATCAGACAACAGATGAAAGCACCAGGAGGAAAACAAATAAAACAAACAAATAGACAACCATCAGACAACAGATGAAAGCACCAGGAGGAAAACAAATAAAACAAACAAATAGACAACCATCAGACAACAGATGAAAGCACCAGGAGGAAAACAAATAAAACAAACAAATAGACAACCATCAGACAACAGATGAAAGCACCAGGAGGAAAACAAATAAAACAAACAAATAGACAACCATCAGACAACAGATGAAAGCACCAGGAGGAAAACAAATAAAACAAACAAATAGACAACCATCAGACAACAGATGAAAGCACCAGGAGGAAAGAGCGAGGCCTCACAAACTCAGTCAGGGGTCTGAAGCTGTGGCTACCTCCTTTGGCTTGGGGGTGCATCCACAATTCCCAAAACCATAGGAGACCCTGGCTCCCAGTAGAGGCTCCAGGTTACGGAGGACTTAATACCCTCCAGATGGGCTGCAAACCCTCCAAAAGAGGAAGCTGGTCAGAACCTGCTTCCCACTCCACAGACTCCAGGTGAGGGCCTGATCCCCCAGTGGGCTCCAGAACGTCATCTTGGATGCCCCTGATCCCAGCCCTACACACAGGTCTGTCAGCTGTTCCAGACATTGACCCTTATTGGACCGCCTCACGGGCTCGGACACAGACACCGGGGTGGGCTGCTTTGAAAGGAAAAAGAAATTTCTCAGCTCACAAAGAAAGGAAAACCCCTTGTTAGAGAAAAAAGGAACTGCCTGCTAGCCGCCTATGAGATTTACACAGAACAGAAGTCAGACAGAAATCACAAATCACAGCTACAAACATCTGACAGACAATGTCACTCACCTGTGGTCCAGAACTAGGAACCTTCAGGGTAGGGGTCCAGGGGTTTTCAGTCATCTGGGACGAGTCCCCAAATGTTGTGCCTGAGTCCTAGGACCCCCCCAAGAAGACCACCACAGAGCCACAGTTCCGAATGCAAAAGCAAGGTTTCGTTTATTAAGTACAGGCTAGCACGGGTCCTCTTCTTCACAGCCAGGACTTAATAAAGGAAACCTTGCTTTTGCATTCGGAACTGTGGCTCTGTGGTGGTCTTCTTGGGGGGTCCTAGGACTCAGGCACAACACTTTATGTATCTGTGTGTGGTTATGAGCAAGCGAGTGCTGTGAGAGCAACAGCCAGAAGGGGGCGTTGTACTCCCTAAAGCTGGAGCTGCAGGCGGTTGTGAGCCCACGGATGTGGGTGCTGGGGACCAAATTTGGGTCCTCTGCATGAGCAGCCAGTGTTGTTAACTTTTTTAAAATTGTTTTTATGAACCATACATTTCCCCCCTCCCCTTCCTCCCTCCCTTCCCCCTCTTCACCCTCCCCCATCCCCACCCTCCCAATTCTCTGGAGCTGTGGATTGTACTCTGGTTATCCCTTGCTTTACATCTTCTATCCACTTATGAGTGAGTACATACCGTGTTTTTTCTCTGGGTCCGAGTTACCTCACTCAAGATGATTTTTTAGTTCTATTTATTCGTCTGCAAATTTCATGATGTCATTGCTTTCTAACAGCTGAGTTGTCCTCCATTGTGTAAATGGACCACACTTTCTTTATCCATTCTTCAGTTGAGGGGCATCTAGGTTGTTCCCAGGTTCTGGCTATGACAAATAATGCTGCTGTAAACATAGTTGAGCACATGTCCTTGTGGTATGATTGTGCTTCCTTTGGACATATGCCCCAGAGTGATGTCGCTGGGTCTTGGGGTAGATTGATTCCCGATTTTCTGAGAAACCATCACACTGACTTCCAGAATGGTAGACAGTTTGTTTTTAACTAGCATGTTTTAACTGCATGGCATAGTTAACATAATGTATTTATAAACATTTTGGGTTTCTTTTTGTTGTTGTTGTTTGGTTTTTCAAGACAGGGTTTCTCCGTGTAACAGTCCTAGCTGTCCTGGAACTAGCTCTCATAGACCAGGATGGCCTTGAACTCACAGAGATCCACCTGCCTCTGCCTCCTGAGTGCTGGGATTAAAGGTATGTGCCACCACTGCCTGACTTGTTTTGCTTTTGTCTGAGACTCAGCCTCACTAGAGAGATAGACAGTGGACCTGGATCTCAGTGCCCTTGTTCCCAGCACAGAGTTGATAGGTCCCTCTCCATGCTGTGCACTGTGTTTGTGGGTGTTTTGTTTTGTTTTGCCAGGCCTGGTAGTCCACGACTTTAATCCTAGCACTTGGGAGGCAGGGGGAGGCATGCAGATCTCTGTGAGGCCAGCCTGGTCTACAGAATGAGTTCTAGGAGAGCCAGGGCTATTTAGAGAACTCCTGTCTCCAATAAATAGATAAATGAATAAATAAATAAACGGTTTATTTTTTATTTATTTTGCTCTTTCCCAGCGTGAACAGGCACATCTATGTATGCAGTACCCAAATCTGCCAGAGGAGGGCGCTGGATCCCCTGGGACTGAGTTCTGGGTGTTTGTGAGATGACCCCTGGGTGCTGAGGAGGCAACCCAGAGCCGATGAGTTGCTGAGCCTCTTCTCCAGCCCCCAAACAAAGCCTCAGGATCCACAGATCTGAGACTTGAGACTGGAGGTGTTGACAGGTGTGTGCCACACTGGGGCGATCGCCAGCGCCATGGAACAAAAGGAAACAGACGAAGAATAAAGAAAGGAATCTGGATGGAAGACGTCCAGAAATCGCCACTATTAATCACATCAAATATGGACGAGCAGTTTCAAAGAAAACCGAGACAGGCGTGGTGAAGTGCACCCATAGAGCCAACACTCACAGCGGGGGCCAGACACTGTGCTTCAGGCCAGCCTGAGCTACATAGGAAGATGTCTCGGAAAAATATGTTAAACATGAATTGTAAGACTCATATCGCGAAACTAAGCACACATGAGATTGTTGAGTAGAGTATGGTAATGCAGGTCTTTAATCCCAGCCCGAGGGGAGGGGTGTCAGGAGGTCCAGGGCAGCAAGGCTAGTCTGAGGTTAGTCTGGGCTACATGAGACACTGTTGAAAGGGAAAGAGAAAAAAGGGAGGAAAGAGGGGAGGGAGAATCAGGAAGGGAGGTAAGAGGGGAACTATCGATCTTTCAATGATTTTTTTTTTTGAGACCCAGAGAGAGTCCCTTCCCTCCATGTGACCCAGACAGCGCCCCTTCTTATTTCCTGCACTGTCTTTTCTTGTCATGTGGGCATCTCCTCCAGAACAGGGTCACTGTCCAGGCCCCAGGCCCCGATTCTTATGACTTCTAAGAATTTGTAAACCTTCTTACTGGAGTATGCCTCGGTTCTCTGTTGAAATCCCACGGGAGTTCTGTGCGTTCCTACAGGGTGAGCCTCGCAGCGTGGTTACCTGGGCCATCGCGGCCGGACAAAATAAGCCTCAGTTTCCCTATGTGGTGATGATCTAGCTGTGTGCTCCAGAGAGGAGGATTGAGTCTCTCTGTGCGCTGCCCCCTAGGCCGTCGTGGGTGGAAAGCTGCGTGTGGACCCTGTGGGTCACGTCTCTCACCCACGCTGTCAGTCCTGGCCCAAGGCTCCTGTCCTACTGGGGGTCACGAGGTGGCCTACGGCAGCTCTTAGTGGATCCAGACCTCGGGCGGGAGCGGATGCTGGGCTTGGACCTGGGTCCTGAGCGGGGACGGGGGCGCGATCCTCTTCGCAGGTCAGCTAGCTCGGCTTCCAGGGCGAAACTGCAGAGAGGAGGGGACTATGAGCGCCTGACACCCCGACAGGTGTTTGTGCAGGGAACTCAGCCTTCAGGGCTCCCTACCCTGCAAGGTCCCGATTCCCTTCCACACTCTGACATATTAGAGTCTCCTCCCCAGGGACTCGGGGCCCTCCCACGCAAGATCCTCTCCAAATCCTTCCTCTTCTCATTACCTACTCCTTTTTCCTACAAGCTTATATTTTCTCCCTGCTCCTCCCTGGAGCCCACACCGATTCCCCGAGTGACATCTTCAACCTGGGATTACCCACCCCCAGACAACCTACCCCCTCACCGAGTGGCGCTAAATCCGACTTCACCTCCAAGTCCGGTCCACCCGGCTACCCTTCCCTCCCAACCTACAAAGGCCAGATTTCCTAAGCCACGCCCCTAGATACAGATTGGCCTAAAGAACTACACTCTACATAGTCATTGGCCCGCGGCCCTGTCCGTCTGTCCCACTCGTGACTGGCCCTTTAACTCACATGTGCTCCCTCAGCGCCATCTCCCGGCCAACGCAAGCTTCGCCTTCTGCCTCTGCTGCGCCAGCGCGCTGTATTGCCGCTTCCAGCTGTTGCTTGGACTCAGTGGCTGCAGCCTCCCAACGCGCCAAGGCTTCTACAGGGGACAGAGGGACTTGAGTCTGCGTGCCGTGTGCATGCTTGAATTGAAATGTGCCTGACTAAACTGGGCGGTGGTGGCGCACGCCTGTAATCCCAGAACTCGGAAGGCAAAGGTAGGGGATCTCTGTGAGTTCAAGGCCAGCCTGGGCTACAGAGTGAGTTCCAGGACAGCTAGAGCTGTCTGTCTCTAAAAATAAAAAACAAAACAAACATAAAATGTGTATGACTTTCTATCTTCATCATCGTTGTCGCTTTAATATTACAGCTTTTGGAGACAAGGTCTCATGTAGCCCAGGCTAGCCTCAGATTTAGTATATAAACCAAGACTAGAGACAGATTCTGAACTCCCCAATTCCTACCTCCCGAGTGCTGGGATAACAAGCGTCCTGCCATCACATCTGGCTCATACAACATTTTGTTGTTGTTGTTTGGTTTTGTTTGTTTCTCTTAAAACCGCATCTTACTGTGTCCCTGGGTTGACCAAACTCACTTCACAGATATCATCTTGTGTCAGCCTCCTGGGTCCTGGGGTCACTACTAGGGTTGCATCCCCCAGGCCTGGTTTGTGCGTGCTGGGGGTGGAGCCCAGCATGCTAGGCGAACTCTCTGCCTTGCCCAGCCACAGCCCAGCCACAGCCCGGTCTGTGTTATTTCGCATCTTTGGCAGGCTCGTTTCTGGTTTTCTGCCCTTGCGGGTGCATTAAAGTTCTTTTAATGTCCTGTTTAGATGGTTTGCTCAGCGATTGCAGCTCCGTGCACTGTAGTTTCTAGGGACCTGCCTTCCCCTCCAGGCCCTCCCTCTCCAGCTTTTCTCCCCACTCCCTCCTCCAGCCTCCCCTCCCCCAGCCCACCTGTCAGTTCTCCATTCTGTAGCCCCATCTGCGTGCCTTGGGCTTTGGCCTCATCCATCTCAATCCTCAGGGTCTTCAGTTGGGTCTGAAGCCGGCTCTGCAGACAGCAGTGAGGGGAGGAAGAAAGGGACAAAATAGGAACTCGGTGAAGCCCACCTAAACTCTACACAGTAGAAAACGCTTGGTTCTGTGATCTCTGTCGAGGACTTGCCACCAGCTCAGGCAGATTTGATGGGTGACAAGTCCCCACTGCAGAACAGACTGGCTAAGTAAGCCAGGCAGAGTCAGAGCTCACACCTGGGGCTCTAGGCAGTCTTGACCTCCCTGCCTCAGATAGATCATCTATTTGGGAAGGCAGAGAGCGCGCAGGAGCCATTCTGACTTTCCTGTATCGTGATTAGAGCCCTCATATTTTGCACCTAAAACTGGTCTCCAAGCTGTGGTCCTCCTTCCTCAGTTTACCAGGATATTTAGATCTTTAAAACACAGATGCCAGTTGGACCTGGCAGGATACTCCTATCATCCCAGCACTTGGGAGATGGCGACAGAAGAATCAGGAGGTCCAGGCATAGCCACAGCCTGAGTTCCAGGACATACTGGGCATCTCAGGCAGGGCCTGTCTCAAAATCAAAAGTAAGGGGCTGGAGAGATGGCTCAGTGGTTAAGAGAATTGCCTGCTCTTCCAAAGGTCCTGAGTTCAATTCCCAGCAACCACATGGTGGCTCACAACCATCTGTAATGGGGTCTGGTGCCCTCTTCTGGCCTGCAGACATACACACAGACAGAATATTGTATGCATAATAAATAAATAAATAAATAAATATTTTTAAAAAATCAAAATCAAAAGTAAAAAGATGACTGAGGAGTTGCACAGGAGCCCCTGCCTAGGATCCCCGGTGAGGGGCTGGGGCGTGGCTCAGGGTGGAGCCCCCAGCCTAGCAATGGTTAAGTCTTGTGTTTCCCACACAGTTCAGTGTCCACCAAAACTAGATATACAAACTGTGCTGGGTCAGGCACAGAAAGATTCACAGCCATTTTTTAATACATTTAAACGCTAGGTCTGAGAGTGTTTCCTTTTGTGACAGGGTCTCCTGCCGCGCAGGCTGCCCTCACCTCTCCAGGCTCCTAAGGAAGAGTTTGAATTCCTGATCTCCCCGCCTCTGCCTCTGCTTTGATGACAAGTGTATGACACCATATAGTTAGTGATTGGGTTTGGAGCACTCCATTTTGTGAGTCTGAGAGGGCGGTACCCGGAAAAGGGAGGTCCCGCTGGTGCCTCCCCAAGAGGCCAACTTTAGTCTCCTAATTACTGGTGATATAATGTCCCTCTCTTAAAATAGGACTACTGGAACCTGGAGTGGCAGTGAGCGGCACAGAGGTCCGGGGTCCGGGCTTTTCCCTTGTGTCCAACAGCAGGGACAGGTGGCATCATGGATCAGAGTTAGGCTCCAAGAAGACTGGCGTTTTAGAAAACAAGAGAAACTGCGATAGTCCTGCACTTTCTCTCCACCCTTTGGAAAGTTGGGGAACACCGAGGCCCTAGAGATAGGCAAGCAAGATCTCTTTGCAGAACGTTCTGGCTTTCCCCTGCCCCTACCTGTCGGTCCTTGCAGGCCTTGAGCGCCACCTCCAGCTCCCTCCTGTCGCCCTCGGCGCGCTGCAGCCACCCGGCCAGGCTCTCCTGGCGCTGCTCAGCCTCGGCCAACCGCCGCCTAAGTTCTTCAATCTCAGGCGCTGAGTCTGGGGGCCACACCGTTGCGTTCACCTGCTCGGGCTCAGGGCAGCTGGTACCCCGGGCCGTCGAGGCCGCCAGGTTCCAGGCCACCAGCGCCCCTCCGGCAGCGGCAGCCGCCAGAAACACGGCAGCCCCGCACAGGGCCAGCAGCCGCCAAGCGCTCCCCGGCTCCGGGCCCGGCTCTGCCATCCCGCCGTGGCTCTGACCCCAGACGGGCCACTAGCATTTAATTGGCACCCTGGGATTCCGGGGACACCCACGGTCCCGCTCCACCCCACCTGGCAGTGGCTTCCCGAGGGATGGGGAGGGGTGCACAGGAATTCCTCTGGGGCCGGTCTGTTCTGAGCGCTCTAGGAAAAAACTGGGGGCACTTTGACCAGACCCTTCTGAGCCTCAGTTTCGCCCTGAACTCAGTGCCTGGTGAGCCCTTTCTGTTGATGGGGAAACTGAGGCTAGAACATGGGAGGGTAGACGAGTGGGTCCTGCAAGGTCTCCACGCTGGCTGTGCTCACGCGTGTGGGCAATCTTTCCATGAGACTGGGATTCAAGATCCTTATAAAAAGTTTTTCCTTGATTTTTTTATTACATTTTATTTATTTTGTGTGTGCGGGGGAGGAACCTAGGGTCTCTCCAGGTCACAGGACAGCATGTCTCCTGTCCTACCTACGGCGTGTAGGTCCGGGACACAAAGGTCGTCAGACACCCAGGTTCCTGCCTGCATTTTACAGGAGTCTCCGTCCCTGGCTGCCTCCCACATTCCAACTGAGCTTCTAACAAGCAAAGTCTCCCGTTTTGTTTCATCCTCTACCCTGTGATCACACAGGCCGGGCACACAGTAGGTGCACACGCAGGACGAGCTGAGGACCACTCTTGGTGTGTGTGCCCTCAGTCAGTGCATGAAATGGAAGCTGTTTACAGTTGCACACACCCTCAGCCCAAAGAGGGTAGAGGTGGGTGGAGTGAGAGGCTAGCCTGGGCTATGGGTGAGACCCGGGGTTTAACCCTAATTAGAATATAAATAGAATACATTTAAAACAAACTGAACTCAAAGGCTTTAAGCCAGGGTTGGTGGCACATGCTTCTTATCCCAGCACTCAGAGGCAGAGGCAGGTAGATCACTATGAGTTTGAGGCCAGCCTGGTCTGAAAACAACAACAACAACAAGAAAAAGATATTAAATTACAGCCTGGTGGTGGTGGTGCACACCTTTAATCCCAGCACTGGGGAAGCAGAGGCATGCTGATCTCTATGAGTTCAAGGCCAACCTGATATAAAAGAGCTAGTTCCAGGACAGCTAGGACTGTTACACAGAGTAACCCCGCCTCAAAAAAAAAAAGACAAAAAAGTTATTAAGTTATATAGAAACGAAATTAAACCAGAAGACTCTGCCCCAGACCCAACTCAAATCGCTTCTCATCAGGCAGCCCCAGCACCTTCACCTGGACGGTTAGGCAGGTCAGGGCGCAGCAGGATTCTCAAGAAGTGGGAAGTGCCGGACTCTCCAACGACAGCGGCAGCGGCAGCAAATGCAAGACACCTGCAGATGGAGCAGTGAGGAAGGCCACCACTCCATAGCTCGCGAGCAGGTGGGTGTGGGCGTGACTGCCCCTGCTTGGCGGCCTCCAGTTCAGTCAGTGACAGACAGTCTTGGCTCGGTCTCCTCTGCCTGGGTTGAACAAATCTTTACATCCCAGCAACAACGCTGAGAGTCAGAGAGAAAGAACGGCGAGGAAGATTAAAGCGGGAACAAGGGAGGATGGAAAAAAGGAAGAAACAGAAAAGAATGAAAAAATCTGAGGGAAAAGAAAGAAGAGAAGAAAACTAAGTCAGACTCAGAGAGGCTGCACCACAAGCCAGAAACACAGCACACAGCTGGATTCCCGAGTCCTCACCTCTAGCCCTGACTGCTGAGTGGTGCGTATCCTTATGGCCCAGACTCAGGGTAAAAAGCAAAAAATGACAGGGTTTTGTAGCACAATTAATAAAAGCCTAGAGACAGATATTGGGTTCAAGATGAAGATCAGAAAAGCAAAGCAGCCAAACTACTACCAAGGCTCAGACAAAGGGGCGATCCTGTCCTCAGCAGACTGCAGCGCTCTCCAAACCTCCTGTCTCCTCCTGTTTTATAGTCCTCTCTGGTGCTGGGATTAAAGGTGTGCACCACCGCTGCCTGGCCTGTATGGATGACTAGTGTGGCTGTTTTGCATTCTGTTCTTCAGACAAGCTTTATTTATCAAAATACAAATAAAGTGTCATATAGGGTGTGCCCTGTGTAGATTGGTGAGCAGCCTTCATCAGCCACCTCAGTGCTGAGGAGCTGGGGGCCAAAGCCATGCATGGGAGTTTCCCAGGAACCCAAGAGAATGGAGGCCACAGGTCATGGGTGAAGGGGTTGCTCAGTGCCCAGAGAGGTCTTACTGCCTGGGCAGAGAGAGAGAGAGAGAGAGAGAGAGAGAGAGAGAGAGAGAGAGAGAGAGAGAGAGAGAGAACGGCATAGTTTGTGGGGGAGACAGTGACCCAAATAGAGAAAAAAGTCCTGCCCTCCTCTGCCCTCCTCTGCCCCACCGAGCCAGCCCCATGAAAGGAAATTTTCACAGAAAACACCCAGGAAGGAGACAGCAGGCTGAGTCCATGTGTTAGGTACAAAGCAGGGACCCAGGTAAATGTCTGTCAGTGAGGACAGTCGGTTCCCCCCTGAACCTCCACCCTGTGTCTGATAGTGAGGACAGTCGTTCCCCCCGAACCTCCACCCTGTGAGTGTCTGTCAGTGAGGACAGTCGGTCCCCCCTGAACCTCCATCCTGTGAGTGTCTGTCAGTGAGGACAGTCGGTCCCCCCTGAACCTCCACCCTGTGAGTGTCTGTCAGTGAGGACAGTCGGTCCCCCCTGAACCTCCATTCTGTGTCTGTCAGTGAGGACAGTCAGCCCCCCCGAACATCCATTCTGTGTCTGTCAGTGAGGACAGTCGGTCCCCCCTGAACCTCCACCCTGTGAGTGTCTGCCAGTGAGGACAGTCGGTCCCCCCTGAACCTCCACCCTGTGAGTGTCTGCCAGTGAGGACAGTCGGTCCCCCCTGAACCTCCACTCTGTGAAGCCTGATCTCCCACTTCTACCATTCCAAAATCCACCCAACAAATCTATGGTGTAAGGTGGGGGGGGGATGACCCATCCAGTAAAGATAATGCCCCTTCCCACCCCGTCTCCTAAAGACAAAGTCACCAGCAGACAAACAAGCTGAGACTATACTTTGCAAACAGGGACAGCGGAACCCATGAAGCCATGTGGGGCATCCATTGGAGGACAGGCCTCTATCCAAGACCACCAGAGAAGGGCTAGACCTAAATGCCCTCAGTGAGGGACCAGTGGCCAGCCCAGGGGTGGAGCACGGCTTAGGGTCCTCCAGTGAGGTGCTGGGGCATGGCCTAGGGTCAGGTCTTGGGTTCACTTCCCAGAACACACACACACAGCAGCAGGATTGAATGAGAACTCGGGCCTGAGGGTTTGGAAGAGTCTTCACAATATGCCCGTGTAAAACTCTAAGACAATTCTGAAGCCTCTCAATCTCCTTAGTGCCTTGGTGCTACCCCTCCTCCCCTGGGAACCAAGGACCTAACAGCTACACATGCACTTATGTTCTCCAGAAATTGGGGCAAGGTCACCTTTAAGATGTTGACTCGTTTCCTGAACAATTACCCATACTCATATGTTGTGATTCAGTCCCCTGGGAAACGGGGTCAAAATGACCTCTTACCTCATCTGATCTGGCAACAGCTCTCCAGCCAGTTATTGGTAATAGCCCTTTCGAATAAGCCAATCAGAATAGTCAAAGAACAAGCCTCCTTGCTTCTGTGGCCTTCTCCTTTAAAAGTAGCCTGTGCCAGCTATTCGAGGTCCCCTCGGCTTCCCGAATGCTGAGGGACCCTGTCATGACAGAATTAATAAAATCCTCATGCTTTTATATCAGCTATGGTGTGAGGGATGGTCTCTGGGGGTGACTCCTCCTCGGTGTTTGGACTCTAGAGTCCAACACCCGACGCCGGAAACAGCTTGGCTTGGAAACAGTTTTGTACCAAGACAATGGTGTGAGGTGCCCACAAAGGGATTTATGGGTGCCTGGGAGGGGGCATCTGGGGTCCCCAGGGAAACACTGTCTCCAGTGGGTACTGTGGGGTCAAGGGAACAATTCTGTGAACCTTAGTGTCAGGAAATGGAAAGAACAATCAGTCAGCTCCAGGAGGAAGTGGAGGAAGGAAGTTAACAGAGGAAAGCAGTGAGATCCTGGAGAGGGAGTGGGCACCAGAGCGGGATTGCGGGGAATCTGGGAGGTGGAAAATGGGCTCTTAAGTGGTCAGGCAGTGGGGGTGCACACCTTTAACCCCCCCCCCCGTACTCGGGAGGCAGAGGCAGGCAGATCCCTGTGAGTTCGAGGCCAGCCTGGCTTACAGAGCAGAGTTCCAGTAACTGACTCCATAGCTCCTGAAAAACCCCATCTTGAAAAACAAAAACACATAAAACAAAACAAGAAGGAAGAGGAGGAGGAGGAGGAAGAGGAGGAGGAGGAGGAGGAGGAGGAGGAGGAGGAGGAGGAGGAGGAGAAGGCTTAACTGACTTGGGCAATGGTGGTGCCCTACTTTAATCACAGCACTGGGGAGGCAAAGGCTGGAGGATCTCTATGAGTTTGAGACCAGCCTGGTCTGTAGAGGGTGTTCCAGGACAGCCGGGGCCACACAGAGAAACCCTGTCTCGAAAAACCTACAAAACAAAACCTTTGACAATTTGTAGAAAATAAGGGAAATGCTGGTGCTGGTTGGTGTCTCCAGGCTTCTCTGTGTAAACTGACACAGGGTTGGAGACACCGCTGGTTTAACTGGGCCCCGAGGTAGCAGAGGCCAGGTGACTTCAGGGTGACGGTAGTTATCACAAAGGGCAGCATAGACAAAGCAATGTTCATCGTGTCCAGACCCACAATGAGCAGCACAGGCAAGGTGAGTTTTACGGCTGCACTACTCATATGGACCTTTAGTACTGGCTATGTGGTGCTCCAGGCATGAATGGTAAGAAGCCTACTGAACTTCTGTTCCATTTGTATAAGCAAAAAAATTCTCTTTTATTTTTATTTATTTATTTATCTATTATGTATACAATATTCTGTCTGTGTGTATGACCGCAGGCCAGAAGAGGGCACTAGAC